ACACACACACACACACACACAAAACAAAACAAGAAACCCCCCCCAAAACTTGCCATTAGTCCCTTGAACTCAAAAAATCGCCCTCAGTCGTTTCTTGATGGCGATTCCTTCTGTGTGCCTGATCCAGTGTGTCCTAGAAAGGCTTGACCTTTAAACCAAGTGCCAGTATCACTGGCAGCTCATATCAGACACTGGTTTTTCTCTGCTTTCAGTCTCTTCCTCTCCTCATTAAGGGGAATTTGAATCTGAAGCCATTAAGGAGTATGAGGCAATAGTCTGAAATGAGATGAAAACAGTAGGAAGGCAATAAAAGAGCCTTGTTAGAAGAATTTTATTACCGTTTACTCCACTGATAGTCTGTTGAACAGCCTGCTTCACACCAGGATTCAGATCTATATCTGGCTGAGGGTAAAAAAAAGTGTTGGTTCGTTTCCGTTTTTTCCTATATTTAATATAGAACAATTTAAAAAGACATTCTGGGTCATTTTCACTTATACTAATAAAGGTGATTTTGCGATTTGTGAATTTAACCATCCCGCTGTCATCCAAATATACTCTTACCAGTGTACTCTACTTGTCCTCTTGTGTTCGTAATTTCTTAGAAATCAAGCGGCACATGACCTCACCACGGTGTTTTGTGTGAAGATCTACGCTGGATCATCTTTCATACCTGAGACAGGCCTCAGTCCTAACCATTAATCATAATTCTGCGGGTTTGTTTGTATGAGCGAGATAGAACAGCAGATGAAGACACAGAGCAGATTGAGCTATTTGTTATCACAGCTTATCCCAACACCGGGATGCCTGCTATTATGCTGCCAGCGCTGGGAATGGCAGGTGGAAAATGGGATTCCTCCCTCTGTTCTTCTATTTTATTGGATTTTTTTTTTTTACCCCTTCCTTAGTCTTTCTCCAGCATTTTCTGACAGAATAATTTTTCGGTGCACATTCATGGAGGTCATGCAGGCGAGGGTGCAAGCCTGGGAAGAAGGTGGCTGAGGGCAAGGTGGGAGATGGGAAGGGGAGGGAGGTGAGAGTGGCTGACATGCTGATAGCGAGAGATAAACATTTTTCTGCAGTTGTTATCCTAGGTGAGGCTATGACCTCTCTGGCTTGTTGATTCTAATGTTTGGCCAAGGCGTTATCTCTCCACCACAGAGAACAGCAGATACTGTCTGGAATATTAGCCTCGTGTTCTCTTGGCAAAGACGCTGTGATTCCAGAGCTTTGTTCTCCAAAGGAGTGTGTGCACATACGTGTATATCTAAGTAAGTGTATGTATGTATTCTGCTGGTATGGCCCTGCATGTTCATTTTCTTGTGGAATCCTGAGGGCCTGTGTGAGAGAAAGAAAACAGAGTTTCAGTGCTTCAACGTGAACGAGGCAGTTAGAGCAAAGCATAGAGTATATATTTAGCTTGGACCAGTATGCGTGCGTTTACCTCCTGAGGTCAGCTCATGTGGGGTGGGGTTGGGGGGGGGGTGTCGAAGTATGGGGTGAGATGAAGGTTAACCAGAGAGGTGAAAGTGGTGGGTGGCTGGGTGGATGGCTATGAGAGGATGGAGGTATGGAAATAGAAAAAAGGAGAGGGAAGGGACTAAGAGCTCAGTGTTTCTCTGTAGCTGTATTCAGAGCAGTATGGCACCACTGCAGCATTTCACTGGCTTGGCCGTCCCAGAAACAGATCCTCCACTCCCTCCCTCTCTCCGCCTCTCATCTCACCTCCCTCCTTTGCCTCCTGTCATCTCTCCTCCCCTAGCTCCTGTCATCCCCCCACCTGCTCCCCTGACCGCTCATCCCTTCTTTCCTCCTGTACCCATCCTGTCTTTCCTTTCCTTTAACTTCTCTTCTGCTGACCCACATCCTCCACTCCTGATCCTAAATGTTCTCTTCTTCTCTCTTTAGTGCAACATCCTCTCTTGCTTTGCCTTCCTTCTTTACACACATCCAAGGTCACCCTGTCCAGTGGCAGGTGTGTGAGCATGTGCTCACATGTGACTGTGTGGCAGTGTGCATATGCAAAGATGGATGTGTTGATTTATCACTGTATATGTGTATGCATCTCATTCTGCCTCTTTTGCCGTGTGCATATATCATCGATTTACTAAGAATTCATCTACATATTTGCCTACACATACCTTGCTGTGTAAAGGCAGAGGATGTCTCTCACTATGTATCAGTGCAACCCACACATACTCGAACTTGGAAATGACATTAAATTCCAAACGATGTATCATCTGACAACATGTGGGTGTGTGCAAGCTGGGGAGGTCAAGGATCCATCGCGTCTGTTTGGATAGTTCTGAAAAAAAAGAGAAAAAACAGGAAATAAAAAAAACGAAAGTGGTAAGGAGCATGCATAATACACATCATCAGTGTTTTATTTATGTTTATTCATCTTTTATTTTTTTCTTGGGTCAAACATCAAATGTGTTAGCATTTTTTGTTTGTTTGTTTTTTATAAGACTGAATGGCGTAATTAACACCAATGATCATTATCATTGTGTGATAATTAAATATTAATCTGTGAAAATGTGTCAGACTCTAGAAAATGGAATTCTTTAATGTAGTGAAGATAAAATCATGTATCAGCAGACTTTATAGTGTTTTTGCTTACATTTAAATGTGCAGAATGTTGCCTTCCTCAACCTTATATCAGTTTTCCCGAGCAATAACAACAATTTAAATAATCAAAATCAAAGTAAAGAAGAACAAATACACAGACATTTGAAGATGTTCTTAAACATGTCAACATGTTGTGGTGTCTTGTCTGTGGATATTCACTTGCAGCCAAAGAGTACAGTGGGCGCGATGAGTCTGTTATGACTGTAGCTTATTTTGTGTATGACTAATCTGATTCATTTATAATTTTCTTCAGGATGTTAGATGTGATTGTGGGGTACACAAGGAGTGCTAGCAATTTACAGATGACGAACAGTTCCATTTGCAAGGCTGCAGTGCTGCAAAAAAGTAGTCTCGCTCTTTCAGCTTAATGTTATGATGGCAGGTAAAGGCCAGTAGACTTGACATGAGGCAGAGGCAAAATTTGTTGCTTGCTTACGTTTTACTTACATCACTAAGTGAAATGGGAAATTATACTGGGTGTAGAAATTGTTATGAGAAATGGCCCTGTGTGGCTCTGACGTTAGTGACAATATTATTAATGTGTTTGTTGATTGGTAGGGAAGACATGAATCTTGTGAATGAGGCCAGGCTGTACATTTCAACTACAACTTGTCGCAGTGGTCCTTTGCTGAGTTGGGTTGAAGGCCGGGCTTAGATTATTGAAAGGTATGCTATGGTCAGGTAATGCCTTGGTGCATCCATGTTTTGTAACATGGTGTTAAGAAGACCCTTTATACATTGCAAGCAAACAATCAGGCATAAAAACAATCCTATGATAGGCTCCACCCTTTCTGTAGTTGACTGTCAGTATTGCTACACTCAAATAAAGTCCAATAACACCACAATTCAATTAGAGGGAATTAGAATAAATATTTTATTAAACCATGACATTAACACATTTAACCACAATACACACTCAAAATTATGCAGTAAACTCATTTTCTGCAACACTTTATTTAACAGAATTCTTTTACATTTTAACACACATATTTACTCACTTTGCTCACCTGAATATTTTTTTATATCAATAGGTAGTTTGTTCCAAACTTTTATGGCAAACAAAAGAAAACAAAATCACAAACTTGAGGGTTAAAACTTTATTTTGCAATTTTATGATCGCCTATTTTTTACAGATAAGACACCACTTTGCATCACTCTGTTTGAGTCAGAACACATGATGTGTCACACATGAACAAGTATCAAATAGCCTAGTATGTTCATTAATCAACTGTGATAAATCAAATATACATATAAAATATTGCAAGTTTTAAACTATTTAAACTATTTACTAACTAATTTACTGTTAAATCTCCAAAAATATATGTTTCTTGTTGCATAAAGAAAAGCTAATTAATTAATAAACATTATACAAATGTATGTCAGATACAGATTTTTGTCTTCCGTAATAATAAAACTATGAAAGCTAAAGTGCAGTAAATGAAGGCTTCTTTTTTGGAAACAGCTGTATTGGTTGAACTTTAATGAGGAGGCCTGCAGATATAAGTGATATGTCAAGCAAATCTAAAGGAGACACAGGTCACACACATATGGAAGCGCTGCATAATTATTGTATGCCCATAAACCTATTTTTGTTTGACATTTTAAATGGGTCCATTTTGCACAAAGATCATGTTCTCACTTCTTTCTGGCATTTTGCACGCAAGTATCTGGGAGGTCCTTCTGAACTTTTCTAGCCAAAGCCACCATCAGTAAGCTTGGTGGAGTTTTGTCTTTGTCAGGCAACAAACAGGCAATATGGGTTTTGTCCAAATTTGTACGAGAAAAAGTCATGTTCAAATTGAAGATCTTGCTTAGGAACTATTTCAATAGATCACCTAAAACTTTGAATCAAATTCTTGAGATGATCTAAAAATAGAAAAAAGTGCTAATACCAAAAGCTTGTCAGTCGTTGTTGCTATCTTCAAGTGAATTGCTACCATGTGAACTGTGGACACTATGCTCGCACATACTGATTTTATTGGGGGATAAAAACCTGAAAACTCTTTACAAAAAATTCCACTGTAGTGATATTTTGATGACAAACTCAACACTGCTGCTGTGAAACTCAAGTATAGGGAAGAGAGCCACTGGAAGCAAAATGCGATTGCCAACACAGATATAAAGTGGAACCATGAAATGAGAGAAGCATGAAAGTGGAGACATGAGCAAATGATGTAGTGAAGTATGTGGTATGGGTGAAACACCCACCCCGTGACTGACTCGGAGACCTTCTTGAGCAAAGGCTGACTCAGCCGTTCTGTGCTGGGCGCATGTGTGTGTGTGTGCATCTATGTGGCAGCAGACATCACCCAGTACCCCTCACCCCCACTCGCTATCCCCTCCTTCTCTCGCTCGCTCTCTCTTCACCTCTACCTCTGCAGTACCTCATTTCTCCCTGTGCCGGCACGGGAAACACGCATACTTTCTGCTTTTCTGCCTGCTGGCTCTCCTCCAGCATCCTTCTGTGCCTCTTGTGTGTTCTCCTCCCCCTCCAGCCTATGTCTCCCCCCCACCCATGGGGTTTGTTGGCCAGCCTGGTTACCTGACTATTCCTGCTGCTGTTAAAGGAGTGGAGCGGTCTGACACAACGCTGCTACCCTGGTGCCGCTCTGCCTCGCTACTCCTCTATGCCTTTCGCCTCACACTCTGCTTTGCTGGATAATTACCACTGTGTCTGCCAGAGACAGCGACAGAGGACAGGAGAGGAGGGAGGCAAAGAAACAGAGAGGCTGCACTCTTTGTTCAACTGCTGCATTCTTCAGTCTTTCCTTTCCTCTGCTTCCCCGGGCTGCAGGAGAGCAGTGCAAGGAACAACTTGATGTGAGAAAGCTCCCTAAAGGAATTTTATCCTTCTCTCTTTTGCGCTTCCTCATTCTGTTCATTCCTGGGACAGAGTGCAGAGGAGGAGAGAAGAGGGAGGGACTGAGAGCAAGACTCTGCCTTCAGCTGCACAGCTCAGTGTCCCACCTTGGTCCAGAGGCACATAAGTCAAACACTCAGAGTGACTGGCAGACAAGGAGACAGACTGACAGAGACACACATTGTATACATATAGACAGGCAGAGAAGAACAGAGACAGACAGGTGGCGTAGGTGTCATGGCGTCAGTGGACAGCCCTGGTTCAAGTGTCTCTGGTCGACTGAGATCAGGGGATCTACTTCACGCTGGTCTGGCAGTTGCACTGCTGCTTGGTGAGTTACACTTATCTCTGTACCTTTAAGTGCCATGTCATTCCACTCTTTTCAAACATGTCTCTGGATGGGGCTATCCCTTTAATTGCCTACACATTTTAACTTATTTCTGTGCCCTTTAGACCTTCTTCATTTGCTCCTTTTGCTCGCTTTTTCTTATTTATTATGTCTGAGTGGGTGGTACAGCCCTCTTACAGTAAATCAATACCTTTTTTTGGTTATTCTATATCTGCTATATCTACATCTCCTGCTCTGTCGCATCTGCTTCAGCGCTAAGTGTTTAATCATTATCTTTCCATACCCAAACACTACAATGTATGGTGCTGTCACAGGTGATGTTTAATTGTTAAACAATCAGGCCAACAATACAAACCTTTGACTTAGATCAGTTTCATGTTGTAGGGTTGCTGCTGGACTGTTTGAGTAACTGACACTTCGCACTTTGAAATTCTACTTTAAACATAGCCTTCATATAGGAGAAAATAAAACAAATAATTAACTTTTGGTTTTCAAAGTAAAGAAAAACAAGCTATAGTTTATCTACATGCATGCCTGTGTGAACATAGCATTACTGGTAATGACGTAGTGGTGCAGTGATGATCTGTGCTTTTGCTCGTACCCTCCCTGATTTTGTTGTAGTGCCCAATAGTGCCCCCACATCCAAAAATTCCCCCTGGCTCTCAGTTGTTTGGAAAGTTGAGCACCATTGAGTTTTATGAAAGAAAAATGGGACTAGTATGTGTCCAGTATTGCAATATTAGTGTCGTCTTTAGATAACCGACAAGTAAGATTAGAATGCATCTTATCTTTCCGCTTTTTAAAATGTGTTTTAGATCCAAAAAAACACAAACAGCACTTTGTTGGTTCAATTTTGTTTTGTTTTATTTTTTGGCAAATATTTGGGCTTTTTATGTTTTCCAACCAAACATCAGGGGTAAATATTAAAACAAATAACTTTAGTTCAATAACACATGTAATTTTGCATTTTGGTAACGTTATTGACTAAATTATTCAAGAGTCCATGAGTCCAGGTTAGCGGCAGCACCAAGACCAAATCATCACTTGTCCCAGTAGGGTCAAATTTGGTCATAGCATATCACATACTGAAAACATGCGAACACACTTCTGACTAGCTAACACAATGCAACATTAGTTCACTTTAAAGGGATTAAACAATAGTTTAGTTCTTTTGAATAGATATGATAAATATATGTACCAGAAACTTTTAACAAAATATTCATTTAAGAAAGAGGAACAAATACAGGCAATATACACACTTCATTTACATCATAGTTCGCATACACAAAAAATAGTTGTAAAGCACAATTTTACAATTATTCATCTTATACATCTTATTCATATTCATTTGTTTCTTGTTGTATTTCATTGTCAGTACACATATTTCCAAATGAAATTGTTGAGTGTTGTGGAAAGTCATACTGCACCAAATAACACTTTCTTAGTAAAATATTTTCCCAAAAATCTTGCTAAAACAGCATTGATCTGGTTGTTTTGTCTAAATTACCAGCTAAGTTCAGTGGAATTTCTCTGAAATCATTTTCTCATAAGTACATATTCTCAGGCTGAATCCCACTGTCCCAGCAGACATTAGATACACCAACAGATAAGTACAGGCAAGGCTAACACAAATAAGAAAGAAGCATAAACTGTATAACAAATTATATTTTTTATCAGCAAATTCTTAAAGGATAGCCACAGCATTATAGAGCATTAACAGTCTGACTCAAGTGGTGGTGCGAGATTGGTTTACATTAAGTACCTGTAAATTTAAATAAAATAAGTTCAAATATCTTTTAACCCATAAGAGCCCGACCCATTTCCACACTCAGGAAAATTATGGGAGCAGTAAATCAGCAACATCAAGATCAATCAACAAAATAGATTATATAAGAGGTGTCACCGTAGGTTCTTAAACATTAAAATATGTAACTCAATATCCCCAAAATACCTTCATTTTTACAAATGAATAGATTATAACTTAAATTTTAACTTGACATCATGACTCAACAACAGCCCGACAGTCCATATTCCAAGTTAGAAGAACACTTAAATTTCAATTCAAGTTCTACACTTATGAATAAATACTTTCATTTGACTATATCCTCCTGAGAACTGAGGAAAGAATCTTCCCATTGAACTATTTTTGGGATTTCCTTCCTCTTTGGAGCTAAAAGAGAGCACCCAAATGCACAAGATATCAATGGAAAGCCCAGGATGTCCTCTATTTAGTACATTAGGACTTATTATGATAGCTCAAATAAGTCACAAGATAGAGACCAAAAACAAATGTCCATTACAATGGACATAAATGGATGGGCTGGTTCTCTGGAGGATATGGCTTTAGTTCCATGGGTGAGTTTTAGTCATTCCCGTCTTTGTAGTTCCTTGGTTTGACCTCTGATTACTATGTTCACTTACATCATTAAATTCTCACCTCTATTTAAGAGATCCGGTTCATCTGTTATGAAAATGTCCACCTTAAATGCATTTTATCATTGTTAACATCTTATATATTCAGGATATGGTTATTTATCTAAATTGTGTCTGTATTGGAATGCTCAACTGTTTCTCTTATGTAATCAAGTAATACCTAAATCAAGTAATGTGCAAAGTATTACAGCAATATGTCACAACAAAACCTTTTGGCAACAGAGAATGAAGAGAATGAAGGCAGTGAAGCAAAGGTCCCAATAAAAGTCAGGTGTGAAATTAAGGAAAAATGTTTAACAGTAGGTTGTTCTCATTAACATCTCCGGATCTATATGAAAGTGTCATTCAGTATTAACAGACAGAAGCTGTTATTGCAGCAGGACCACAGACAAAACTTGGAATAATGACTTTTTTGCAGAATAAAGACACTCTTCAGATATCTGTAACTTTTCAGCATGGAAGATGCAAAAGGTTGGAACAACTGTCATGCCAACTACTTTCATTTTTTCCATTTTCATTCACGCAAAATTATTCATCATCCTTTTTTGTGACGAATAAACAAAAGATACAGTAAAAAGCAAAATGATAGAGTGATCATGGTGTAACATAGTAATCATGTTAACATTTCTCCAGTACTGTGCCTGAAAATGCAGTTACTGCAGCATTGTTTGTATGAATATCACATTGCATATATTACCTGAAGTGAAAAACTGAAACTATCTTGTCCCACAATACCAGCAGCTCTGCCTATTAAGTAACTCAGCTGCTGGTGTAATTCTTTGCCCATTCACCTTGAAAAGGACATCTCACATCCCTCACCTCTCTCATATCCATTCCCCTGTTCTTTCCTTGTGACCCCTTTCCATCACTTCCTACACATTGTAACTCCTGCATTACCTACGCTTCCTTGTTCATACCCCCCTCTCCCACATTTCCCATCACTTCCCTGTATATATTGCAGAATAGTGTCCTCAGTCAGTTCTCTATGGGTTCTCTTAGAAATACATTAACTTTTCAATTACTGGCCTACTTAAAAAAAGAAGAAGAAAAAAAACAGTCACCTTGACAGTCAGGCAAGGACACACACACACATACATGCACACAGACACATATGCACATACATGCACACACTCAGTTGCTTTTCAGACCTTCAGTATTACTGATATGTACACAAACACTTAAAGTAAGTGCATATATACAGTTCACATACATGCACATGCACACACATACACAGACACACACGTCACATAAAAAGATAACAGTGCATACATTACATAAGTGAATTGTACACTACTTCAGGATGTGAATCTGTGGGCGGTTTCAGGACAAACTGTTTAGACAAAAAAAGAGGATAGTGAAGAGAAAAGTGATGTAAAAAACCATGATAGTAGAGAGCAGTAAAGCCAAGGAGGTGTCAAGTTTATTTCTAAGCATGAGGAGGGGGCACCATATAATCCATCTGGAAATGTTTTTGGAAATGGATAACATCTTTTTTTTTCTCCACTGGAGCATTTTGTTTCACAGACTATTCACTGAAAATGTGCAATTAATTACTGATAGAGATAAATGTTTGTTTTCATTGTTGCAATTACCAAAGAGTTTAAAAGATAGTTCAATGTTCAAAACTTCTAAGCCTCTTAAAGTAGAAAATATATACACACACACACACACACACACACACACACACACACACACACACACACACACACACACACACACACACACACACAACCCCATTCAGCTATTTTACTGAGGACCTTCATTGACATAATGCTTTCCCTAGCCCCTTACCCTAACCCTAACCATTAAAAATGAATGCCTAACCCAAACCCTTACCCTAAACCTAATCATAACCTAATTGTAACCCTGACAGTAAAACCACATTTTGAGCCTCAAAAATACCTTTAAATGCCTTCAAATTTGTGAGGACCGGGTTGTGTGTCCTCACAAGTGACTGTTGGTTCTCACTAGTATAATAGAATGCAGATTTCGGTCCTCACAAAGATAGCTAGACAGGAACACACACACACACACACATATGTTTCCATGTTCTTATTTAGGGATTGTCTCCCCCAGGAGCAACTTCTGAAAGCAACTAAGACAGAAAGATTGAGGGATAAAAGGAGTGAAAGCAGAATTGTCCAGACTGTCCAGTGCTATAAAAAAGTAAGTCAGGCTATTAAAACAGAGCAAAAGTGGAATCAGAAAACAAACAAGTTCAAAACTAAAAATGCTTGAGCTGAAAGTGGATGAGTCAGCATAACTGAAGAGTTAAATACCAGGTGTTACAAAAAAAATCAAGAAGAGCGGGTGGGACAAAAGCATATAGATGACCAAAAAAGCAAAGCCAAACAAACTGATGCTTCCTTGATGTATAAATATTTATTTGTAAGGTATAAGAGTGCACATATTTATTATAACCAATATGTGACTTGCAGAAGGCACTCTTTTAGTTAATTTCATTTAATTTCATCTGAAAATAAATAAATAAATAAAATACAGACAGAGGTTTATTTTTGTCTATGTATTTGCACTACTGGAACCCAATACTCTTCAGTGGGAGTTCCACCCACACTTACAATCCCTTGCTTGTATCATTAACCCTAAATGCTTACTTCAGCAATATCTTTCTTTTTATTTATATCATTTTACAAAAGCAGCTGATAAAAAAACAGAAAGAATGACAATTCAAATACTGAGTGTTTTTCCCAGTACGAATTAAAAGTTTCAGCTCCAGTAAGTCTTACTTGAAACAATCTTCTTACAACACTATTACTTTTTTTCTGAAAATGTTTTATTAGTTCTAGCCATACACAGCAAATCACCATTAATATACTTAATATAATACAAAATAAGTTGTGCTGTCTGTTGAATGAGTTCTATCCAAGTAACTTTTTCTATGTATATTAAGAAAAGGTTATTTCACATTAATTGTATTTTTTTGTTTCATTAACCAGCCCCAGTGCCAGTGTTGTGATGGTAACAATACAGCTGAAAAACAACTTTTTATCAATGTTTATGCTGTTGAATTTTTTCCTCCAAATCACATTAATACATTTTCTGATTTCTTTAACATTTGAATCGAAAAATGGTAAATGACAATGTGTGCCTAGAACACATGATTTCAAGTAGTAAAATGATTTCATCCATATCCAGTAATATGAGGACTCAAGTGTTTGAGATTCTTGTGCTAACGCAGATTTATTCAAAGCATTCCAGAGCAGGTGATGCAAAATTCTTTTAAGCAAGTATACATACATGTCTATGTCTATGTGTCCTCAGCAGAGGCATACATGTACTCTAACCTTGTCTGTACCTTGTCCAAGTGAAATGTGATCCTGAGCAGGTCAATGGGGAAGAGAGTATTTATAAATAGACCCCAAGTATGTGAGAGAGAAACCAGAGCAACAATCTGAGAATTACACCAGCTGTCATTGCAAAACCCACATAACATGCCTGGCCATGTGAATTTAAGTCGCATGACTCTTATACTCTATTCATAAATTGGATTAGTGGGGTCTTGAAAAAATCAAAGGTTTTGATTGCCTAATTAGTTTGACCTGATGAACTAGAGAACAAATCTTTTCTCTTTAGAAATGGTACCAAAATTCTATGTTTCTTTTTTTTTTTTTTTTACATATTTTTTTTAACATTAAGACCAATAGAAGAGAGAGGTTTTACATAGAGGACATCATACAGTATAAATGTCATTTGGTAAAATTGTCAGTTGCTTCTGCAAAGTTGCATTTAGAACCTAACCTAATTTTTCAAAGCCTAAAGTTCGCCATAAAGTCCATAAAGTACACAAAAAAAGTAATCAGGGAGCATGTGGTCATTTTTTCCCCTGTGATAGCAATTTTAAATATATTAGGTTTAGACTCCATATTAAGATTTTTATTCACAATTTAATTTTAAAAGAAGAGAGACAGAATAGTGTTGCCTACTTGGCCACATTCTACTTTTACTTAAGTTAAATCATAATGAATTCATACATAATTAAGTCTCAATAAACTGATGCCACAACAAATATTGCAAATATCAAACAAACACAAAACTCTGTACTATCTTTTACTTTTTTATTTTCATTTTGCCTTATATAATTGTGTTTTTATTGCTTTTCAAAAACCGTTTTCTATCCTTTTCTAAAAACTTTTTAACTTTTCCTTTCTCCCTTGGTTTAGGCGTATGGACTGTTGGTGGACTGGAAGTTTCCACAGGTAAAGTGTCTTCAATCGAAGCAATGAATGGCTCCACGGTTTTGTTGCCCTGCACTTACTCTTCATGTATTGGCATCGAAAATCTCTACTTCAACTGGCAATATAATGACAATGGAACTCTCATAAAGGTACGTGCACACAACCAAAACACCAACAGGGATCCAAAAAAGCATAAAAATAGTGATTCCTGACATTTTCATATGTTTCGTGTCTCATCGCATAAACAGTCGGTGAGTGTATGCTGTTGTATTTCTGAAGGCATGGGGATACAGTTTTGTTCATAAGTATTTAGATGAACAGATAGTTCTTGTAATTTTGCCTTTGTTAACTATCACATGTGATTGGTTTTTTTTTTTTAGTACAGCCTGTATTAACTGTTTAGGAAATGCAGCCATTTTTTAATACACAGGATCTGCTTGTATTATTTGAAAAGCCTCTGTAGGTTATGACAGCCTGAAGTCTAAAATTCACGAACATCACCAAATGCTGTGTTTCCTCCCTTGAGATGCCAGGCCTTTACTGCAGTCACCTTCAGCTGCTGCTTGTTTGTGGGTCTCTCTGCCTAGAGGTCTGCCTTCCGCAGTGTTGGAAAGGTTACTTTTAAGGTGTATTCCACTACAAATTACAGAATACATGCCCCAAAATGTAGTTTTTAACGTATTCCGTTAAGCTACTCAGTGTGAGTAACATATTCTGAATACTTTGGATTACTTAATATATTGTCATGTTTTTTTACAACTACGTGAATGTACTATTGCTGTGTGATTTATTACTATTACTGAAGGCTTCCTGCCACCAAAATCACATTGTTAGCTTGCGTTAGCTGAGGTTAGTTCATAGACTGCTTTCAGAATTGCACATGATTATTTGCAGCTCGCAGGTTGTTAATGTTTAAGCAGGTCTAACAATCTGCAGTCTATGAACTAACTTAGGCTAACGCCAGCTAACAATGTTAGTTCGGTGGCGAGTAGCATCCAGTAATAGTAACAAATCACTCAGCAATAGTACATCAGAGATACTGAAGTGGCACATAACCCAGGTAGCTACCACAACTAAAACAAGGTAGCTGCAGTAGGCTAACATTCATTGTTAAAAAAGAACTTACTTCCAGATGTTTGTTTAGGTTGGAGTCTTTCGACGCTGCGAGCAGCTTGGTTGCTGGCAAACAGTGTTTGCATGGCATGGTCAAATTCACCCATCCCTTTCTTCTTTAAATATGAAGTGGTGTCGGAATTTCAAAGTAAGAAATCCATTCCTGCTCGTACTCTGCTGGCTCTGTTGTGCTGTCGCTGGGTCCATTGTGTAACTGACACCACCAATGTTAATGGGACGCTTACATTGGAGCCTCTTATTTCGTGTCTTGTTTGGGTTTCTGGCTATGTGTGGAGTTACCAAAATTGGAGAGGTGATAGCCTAAGAAAAGACCATTGTGTAATCCAGTTATTTCAACAAAGTAACTATATTCTAATTATCACTGTTTTAAACGGTAACTGCAAGGGAATACAGTTGCTCATATTTTGTATTTTAAATACGTAACACCAGTACATGTATTCCGTTACTCCCCAACACTGGACTTCTAAACTCTACTGAAAAGAATGCTCTGGTGGAAAGCATGTTCTGATATCATGTGACTCACTTGGTCATTTAATTAAATCCTGTTTCTTTGTCTTGAGAGGCTCTTTGGTTGCTTGTGCAGTATACATTGGGTGATTAACGATTTGCACTTTGTGCTGCCCAATAAATTTTTCAACATTTGTCAGGATCTGAGGAGCAATTGTAGCCCTGTACATTTCAGAATTCATCCAGCCACTGACAGCAGTCACGCGATCCGTAAACACAAGTGAATGAGTTCTGTTGCAAACCATACATACCTATGCCATTATATTGGCTTCACCACGCTTCAGATCAAGGCTGGACTGGGACAAAAAATCGGCCCGGCATTTTGACTAGAGACCGGCCCACCAGGATAAAGATTGAAAATGTGATGTCATTCAGGGGTAAAACCGCAAAGGATTCTGGGAACTTGTGGCAAGAGGTACTAGCGCACGCAGGCTTTCAATTGAACTCAGTTACACAGCGATAAAAAGAAACCCAAAAAATGGCAAGAAGCTGTTGTGTTATTAACTTCAATAGCTGGTCGCATGACAGCCACGGGAAGAGATCGTTTTTTTTATCGGATTACGTCGTTGAAGAGAAATTTTTTAAGCCATGTTTCCGAAGTAAGAGCCGACGGGTGGTCTGGATATACCAAATATAACGTCTCAGAACACTCCAGCTCACATGTTAGTCTGCTCCAAGCATTCCCACAAAGGTCAGAGTTTTGTAGTAGTTAATACGTCATTTTTCTTAACATAATTGGTGATATAGGTTACAAGCAAGTCTGGCGCTGAACAGAAATTGTCGCGCTATGCTCCTTTATTTATTGTGCATAAATAGTGAATTGTCCTGACACAATATTGCGTTTCGCTTCTGTTATTATGGTACATTGACAAAAACATATACTTTTATTCACAGGATAAAACAGTTGTTTTGTATCACTAATTGTCCAGTACGATTACAGCATACAATATTATTGTCACTGCTACATTTCTGTAATGCTACCAGAAATTATTTCCACTACTAATTAATTACCGTTGAGCTCAAAGGTTATATTAATAAACGGTTAACGAATGTGTATTTATGACGACGATTTGTGAGACTGGTAAACTTACCTTTGTTCGTACGATGGTCTTTCGTTCTACACGGTGCATTTCAAGGTCCTGCACCCATCCGTCGGTAAACTGTACCTGGGCTTGTTGCAGTGACCTGAAGTTACTAAACTTCATGAGTGTATGCACTCACTCCAAGAACCGTATAATTATAAATCTGAGCGTGGTGAAAGTTGGGCAGCACGCTAACGTCTTTTGTCCCTCTGTGTGCTCGTAAGGGTCTGACCCTTTCACTCCTTTGATTTTTTCCTCGTATCTTTTCTTTGTCTTTTCGTCGAGTCTGTCTTTGTACGGACCGGCATTGTTCTCCTTTTGTTTTGTACATTCCTTTTTTGTGCGGCAAAGAAAAAACAAGAAGGTATTGGAACCGGAGAATGAACGTTTTGCGGTGCTGCAAATGCTTGCATTTGATGCGGTACTTGGATTGTTTTGCCACGAGTTCCCGGCATGCAATGCGCGAAAATCACGTGATTGCTAAACAAGGGGGAGGGTGCATCCGGCCTCCTCGGCTGTAATTGGTCCAGCCCAGAGTCGATCATGACCAATTGGCCAATCCAACACCTTTCATTATATATACCCTTCCAAAAAAAAAAAAAAAAATCCATCGGCCCATAAAAACAAAAAATCGCCAGCGGCCCACCGGGCAAATGCCCGGTATGCCCGATGGCCAGTCCAGCTATGCTTAGATCATTATTATATTTTTTTTTTTCTATCTTTAACCATTGGTTTGCATCTTGTTGTAAATGCTCTGTATTTCCATTAATCAAGACATCTGTTGATTGTAGACTTTGACAATGATGTAGCTACCTCCACAGTGTTGCTGACTTTGTTAGAAGTTGTGAAGGAACTTTTTTCTTGACCAAAGAAAGAATTCTATGATCATTCACTTCACAGGTGTCTCCACAGGTTTCCCTGGCCTTTAAGTCTTGCTGAGCTGCCCGGTTCATTCCATCTTTTGATCAATGTGCCAAATAGCTGATTTGGCCACGTTTTTTTTTTTAGCTTGATTATGGCATAACTACACGTTCTTTCAGACAGCTACCAAATACAAGTTCAAGTCCAGATCACAATTTCCTTAATATTTAAGAAAGTGTCAAGGGACCCTTTACCTGGCCATAAAACTGCTTGTCAATTATTTTTGAGTCTCTAAAAATGGGAAACTATATATAAAAATGCCCAAACAGGTAATAAAACACTTTTGTTAAACCCCTTGAATTAAAGTCTTTGATTTTCAGTGTGATGTGGTGGTGTACAAAGGCAAAATTACAACACATCATCCCAATGCTGTGTAGCTGACACCCAATACTGTGTATCTAAGGAAATATCTTGTGTGTAGTTATGTGAAGCGTTGATCCCTATGGAGGGTGTGGAGCCGAAGGTCCGTGTGTCCCATGAGCGTGTTGAGTTTGTCGGCTCCTCAAAGAGTAACAACATTTCGATCTTGCTATGGAATATCACCTTTGAAGATGAAGGAGAGTACATCTGTTTTGCCAGGAATCCAAAAGAGAAGAACCGCAACCACAGTGCTATCTTCACTCTTATAGTGGTGGATCAAAGTATGTAAAAGTTGCACAAACACCTGGCATACAAAAATAGAGCTTTATCTGACTTGCTGACTGACAGTGTTTATAAAGTACATATACAAGTACATATATGCTACTAGCATCTAGTTTCAATCTTGTTAGAGCTCTAAGTCAGTTTTTACATACTCTGTATACTTGTTTGTCCTCACAAAGTCACTGTCTCTCTCTCTCTCTCTTTCTCTCTCTACCTTTTCAGTGAAGGAAGTTGACAACACTTTGACAATCATTATTGTCTCAGCGTTGGGTGGAGTCATAGGCTTAGTTATCATTGTCATGGTGATAAAGGCTGTTGTTGTTCACTTCCTGCAGAAGGATGATGAGAAGAAGTGAGTAGATCATTGACTATTTTATAAGGACATTTAGAACTAATCAACAATACTGATTATAGATAATCTTTTTATCATATATATTTGGGTCAGCTACAGTCAAACAGCCAAAAACTGTGTATTGCTGGCAAAAAGAAATTTGGTCTATTATATGCTAGTTTTATAACTGTTCCTGCAAATTTAACATCTTGTGAAATAGGGTGTAAACATTTGTGAAGTTTTCACCATTAATGAAAAAAAATTCCAGCTTTTAAGGAACCATTGAATTTTTTTTCCTGATATGGTTTTTATTCATGTATTTTTATTCATATACATATGTTACAAGTCCTATGATGTCATTGACTTTTGCAGATACTATAGCCTGCAACACGCAGCTCAAAACTCATCACATAAGCATGTAACATAATTTATTCTTATACCTGCAGCAATATCATATGCACGAAATGTACAGAAGTTATGAATAATTAAGTGTGGCGAAGTACTGTTTATATTTCCTGTTTAATCACACAAGTAATGCACTCTTACGGCAACACAATTTTTCAGACAAGACATACTGACATGAAGAATAAGTCAAGTGATCTTTATACATACATGTCGTAAATAATATTTTTATGTACTACAAATATTTTTAAAATGTGCAAGTCTTATTTGATTTCTAAAAAGTATAACAAAAAGTTTGAATGTTGGAAATAAAAATGAAAGAAATTGCTTGTCATACTCCAGTTTGCAAAAGAAGTAGAATTATTAGCTTTCTGTTATCTTTTTTATTGATATAAAAAGTGCATCTAGCAGTGAAAATCTGATATTAGAGGAAATTCAAATGTGTTACATCATAATTTCAAGAGTATTTGCTTTCATATAACAAATGAACTATTTATATTCGATGAATACAACTAAAATCATTGTAACTTTTATCACCAGGTCTAATGTCATATCATCAACACCAGTTCATATAAAACTACATTATTTACTGAAAAATAATTTTGTGTCACAAAGATTTACCCTGTTGTTTGACTGTGGCTGACCCAGGCACTCATTTGGCCATGTTAATAGATTTTTTTGTATTTTTCTAATTAAAATATCTGATGTAATCAGTAATGGTTTTATGCTGACAATATAGGTCAAATTGTCTCAGAACAAAGTGGGCAATTATTATGAATCTGTTATATTATATAATAAGGAAATAATGTCACCCATATTCTATGTTTCCAAAACAAAATTATTATTTGAAGCTCATTGGGTTAAGTTTTTTTAAAACCCCTGCAGTATATATGGCACATGGCCCTTATCGCTTGTATTTGTCTCCTTTTATAGGTGTTCAATATAACCTTTGTTTCTCTTATCTCTACAGTAAAGAGTGCCTAGTGAGCTCCTCAGGGAATGACAACACAGAAAATGGTCTTTCAGGAGCCAAAACTGAAAACAAAGGGACACCAAAGGCTTGAACAAAATGTTAAGTATGCCTACATGTTTGTATATATGTTAGACAAATGTACACACTCAGCGAAAAATCAATTATCTTACTAGCGGCTAACAAAAACAACTTGTAAAAATGTCTATTTTAAATCATGCTTGAGATTTGGGAAGTGTGAAGTGTGCATAGGCCTGGATCTCTCTCACTTACCATGGTAGCCCATTTGTTCCACTGTACAGCTTCTGCTCCACTTTCTTCACATTGCAATCTCCAATTTATGCAGTTGATGTGTTATTTTTTTCTATGTACTTTCTTACTATCTAATAACATTCACACTACGTTAAAGCAAAAACGCATCACAAGGCCGAAATCTTTTTTATACACCCAATGTCAGTATTCAGTTTCCAGTCCAAAACATGCTTTACAGTATCAGCTGAGAAGCTACAATATGTTGGATTCTTAGTCTGGAACTCTACAACTCCAAGTGAAACTTGGACTTAGATATACTCAACCAGTGGGAACAAATATCTTTGATGCCATGTTGAACTGCCATAATAAAAAACTGCCAGGATGTCAGTCGAAGAACAGCACAACACTGCTCAAATTCTTTCCCTTAGCTCTCAAATGATATAAATGCACCTGGATGAAAATAAGCCAGGTGGTAACTGACTAGAAGTTTGGTTATAAAGAAAAGATAAAATTTTTTAGTCCCAATCACATAAATTGTTTAGAAATAAAATAGGAAGTTTTACATTTTAAACACTGACTGTAAAATTTGTATTTTGCCATTTTAAACACTGGGCGCTGTTTTACTGATTAACTGTGTTTGTAGGTAACGAGTAAATCCCAACTGTTTCCAAAGGATCTTTCTGACATTAACCTCTGAAATGCCAATTTTCATGTGACTTCTGGGTTCAGATTAGACACACTGCTGGTTTGTTTGGGCCAAAGATTTTCTGTGAAATGCTGGTTAGCAGGGACTAACAAATGGGCTTACCTTAGGTGAATAAAAGATCCAGTTCTGCACAGGTTTTATTGTTTTGCTTTAGATAAACACAGGTGCCTGTTCTGCTTCTGCTCCCTTGGCTGGTGAGAAGAACTTACATAAAAAAAAGAAGAACCCTAACCATCATCAAAGACAATCCCCAGACTACCCAGCTCCCTATTGAAAGGAATGAACTTAATCATGCTGCTTCTGACTAATAACCAATGCATTTTGAGCATGTGCACATTTTATATAGCTTCGTATAAGATTATATATTACACCATAATACAGGAACATTTCTGTGTGTCTCTGTTTGGTCCCCTCCATGCTGGCCAGAACTGCGGGAAGCTCTGTCAATGCTCATCTCAACACTGCTGCAACTGTTTAACACCTTTTTAGCCACGTCAGGGTTATTGAAAAATAACTTTTAGAATTTTGGCCGACAAGTTTACTGTAGAAAAATTAATAACTGAAACAAAGTTTACACTTATTGAAAAAGTGAGAACATTTCAGCAGCTCTGTTTAAGTGAAAGAATTGAAAAGCCCTGCCAGAGGAGTTTGAGAAGCTGCTTAATGGCTTATTAGCCGGATATCCTTGTAAGCACATGCAGCTCAAAATGCTAATTTCCAAATTTACATGTGGATTCAATGAAATACATATAACTCAAAGGAAACTTGCCAAACCCATCAAGAATATACAAGTCCAGTAATATAGCCTTGGTAGTGCAGGTAGCATTGTCTTGGGGCAGCTCACTGCAAAAGAATGTAAAGACTGTTGGGCAGTCAAATATTGTCCAAAATGTATGTTTTCATTCAGTACAAAAAATATATCAAAGAAATATTAATATTATTCTGAATTGAATGTGTGTGAATGCCCCTCAAGGGCAGTCATAAGTGCTTGTTGGTCAGCTACATTATTTTGTGTACATCTACAACTGACCAAAACTGAGCATGTTATAGAGTTTAAACTGATAAAATTACTACTTGACTGTATTTAAAACCCTGACCATTGAAGATTTTAAACTTTTTGTTCAGACTTCACAAACAGCCCCAGTGTTGATCTTAGCTGTTTAAAAGGGACGTCGGTTGATGTTGCTGAGAGTAAATTGAGCAATTTTAAATTAAAAAATGTTTAAGTAAATGCTTAACCCCTTAGCAGTCCTATTAGTCCCCTAAACCATCCAATGTCCCGTGGGCGGCACGTCCGACTGCTAACAGTTTAAATGTGCACAATATAAACACCAGTACATATTTCTTTCAAGAAACGCCAAATTGGAAAATGTAACAAAATCTTCATAAATTCACATTTCTGTTTCATTCTTTCATAAGTCAACAAGGATCGGTTTACTGCTAAAATGCCCCTGGGAAATTAGAACCACCTCTCTTTGTAGTTTGTAGTCACAGTCACTTTGACATCCTTTCTATGAGGACCGCAGACATGCTCTGCATAAATAGTTTGAACAGCTGAAAGCTACATACATACATTACACACTGCTACACAAATACCCACATAGGAGGATTCATTTTGATACCAGAAAACAGCTCACTGGCCTTGCCTGCAAACAATACAGCACTTTATCAGTGTTAAAGTGGTTTTGTTACCATGGCAAATCACGGAAGTGGCCTCACAGTTGCCATTCTTTTATACTATATATTAACAGAATTAACAAAAACTCAACATTCTCACTTTGTGTTTGTCATTTTGACCGAGTACCTGACAGCAGCACTGTGTCAAATGGTTTTAACTTCGAGTACATGTTCACTTACTGGAACAGAGCTCTATGACAAGCTTTTATTTTATTTTTCTATTTGTTCGCGTCTGTCAGCCTGCTCCTCTCTAATACTGGAGTGCACTTCCCTTGCCTTCAATGGAAGCAATAAGACAGATATCAGATTATGCAATAACCTGTTATAAGGCACTTTAAAGATGTGTCTGGACTGGCTGGCAATTCTGTCCAAGGCACTGATCATTGTACCAATATATGTATCCACACCACAGAAATGTATCTCAGCTGAGTTTAAGTATGGTGATTAGGATCATATATCTACAGCAGATGGTTTTGTCTGCATTGGATCAATCTATATTAGGTCCCATTTACACTTGGCTCAAAATTCCTTGAGCAGATGAAAGCTGTATCAGGAAAAGCTTGAACCCAGGCCCGCATTATAACACATGTCTAACATATTACCCCATTTGTACTTTGCTATTTCATAAAAGTTGTATCTAGATGGAATAATAACACAGTGGTGGCCCTGGGAGTTCAGGGTGCTGCAGCTGCAGTTTCTGTTTTCGCTGTGGATTATTTCTTTGTTAGTTTGTTGTTGTTTTTGTATTTATTACTTTGTCAAACTGTTGAAGATGTGTCTCAGTATGCTTTTATTTACATTTTTTCAATGTATGTTTTACTCAGAGCTCTCAGGGCTACTGTACTAATGGGCTAAAAACACCCTAATTGACACTGCCAACTGACAAATATGAAATGCCCTACAAGATAACCAATGCGCTGCCCCCTTACAGGAATACAATATATTTTTCTGTGTGTAATATAAAAGCAGCCATTGTTGCAATCACAGAAAACATCATAACTGACCTATTACGAATGTTCTTGCTTTGGAGTCCTAATTATAAGATTTGATGTTATGTACTGAGTAGTTGTTTGGTTGCACTTATGTGTTTGAGGGATGCATTTAATTACCATTGGAAGGAAAGGTGTAGAATATGACCTCAATTGACTCACGCAATCAGGTTTCATACAATATATAAAGTACAACGCATATGCCCAAGAAGCACAAGTGTTTATTTTATTATACATTACTAAATAGTGTAAGTATACGCTGAGTATAAATGGGATCAAGAGTGAAATGTGATCAACCTTAACAGTACAATGTTAGAAGTGAATATATCCTGGTGAACCTGTAAAAATGTGAATGACGTGGATGTAAGGCATCACACACTATCTAAGAGTTATGGGACCCCTCTGTAAAGAGGGTATATACATCCAAAGTCTTCCTGTTAGGGAAAAGCAATATTGTGGAGTTAATGTGTCCGTTAGTGTACTTTTCATAACCCTGACACTCAAAATACAGTATAGGTGGATTCACATAATACATAACTCAAACCTCACTATTTGTGTTTACGGATTTTATTCTTAATTTAAAGAAGAAAAACAAATGATAATAAAATACTTAAAAAACAACAAGCAGCAAATTAGGCATATGTATCTGAGCGGGTTATAAGAGGTATGTACTGTTTTAATAACAACCATAACTGATGTGATAAAATATGTATATGTGATGGGGAGAGGAGAGCTGTTTTAATGCATAACACAGGTCTGATTTTGGTACAGTTGCCTTTATAATCGTAAGACATTGTACTAAGCATTGAATGCATTATTATTATTGTTATGTTTGTTTGTTTGTTTTTTTCATCTTTGGTGTTCTGATCTGTCCTGTCTTCCTCCAAGAAACACCTATACCGAACCTCTTATGACTCTTGAAGTTAGCCAACAGCTTGCAGTGATTGCTGCAGTACTGAGTGTGCACGGTACAGTGTACAATGCTCCTCTGCAGTGGTGCAATACAGCACGCCAAATACAGTATGACTGCCACCCAGTGGTAAATGCCCCTGTAGTACAAGCCATGGTACTACTAGCGTGCATTTTGATTTGGACTATGAGGATTGCACATTATCAAACCATTGCCACAATTTTCAGAGTTAAAGCAGTTCAAAGATGTATGATTACGCATCATGTTGCAATTGTTTCTCCTGCTTTATATAGTGCTAGTAGTCTAATGGGGAGGTGTGATGTATAAGTTTACACAAAAAAATTAGGAAAAAAATACATTGAACAATAAACCACGTATGAACAGTGGTTGTTCATCAGACTACTACTGGTGAGCATAAAATGGTTATAGACAGCATTCGTACTGCTGTAACATTATTCACTAGGTAACACAGTATTGTGAATTCTCATTGACTAGTATGATTTTTTAGAGTTAGTATTGCTCTTACTGCCAGAGCGGGTGAAACTCATACTGCCAATCCAAGAGTCTCATGTCTGCTGTTGTTACAACACGATTATAATGACACGCAATCTATTAACTACGGTAACACTACTAAAACATGATGTTGCATTACTGTCTACTGCTGTATAAAATGCATATGAAAGCTAATCTGTATATGATGATGCTCTATACTACTTCTGTATTTCTAGCAGCTGAAACTCACACTGCCAAGCCAAGAGTCTAATGTCTGCCTCCCACATTCCACACCAGAGCTGCAACTATTAGTCAGTTACTTAGTCAAGAAAAGGAATTGACAACTATTTTAAGGACATAGTTTGTAAGTCATCTTTCAAGTAAAAAGTGCCCACATTTTTATAGCATTGCGTTCTCAACATTTTCTGGGTTTTCCCCTCTTACACATTATAGGAAAGATTAATATAGTTCAGAAAAAATGGAATTTTTTTGTCTTTTTTGATAATTTGAAGTTAACATTAGTGGTAAAAATACTAAACTATGATTCATATTGTGATTTAAACAAATAACTAACGTTTGACAGACAAAGACATCGAGAATTTCTTTTAGGTTTCATTTATAAGCACTGACCTCTCCACATGCTGTTACTGCAGTCCTGCATTTTAGAGTATTCTATCAATATTTTACATATCCTGGGGCTGCAAAACATAAATCTATCCCAAAAAAATGATTTTACAAGGTCATATCTAGAGCAAGCTAAGGCCACTGATAGCATACAAATTATAGCAATTGATAGAAAGTCGTACTGTTGCAGCAAATTCTTATGTTTTGTTTACATTACTGTAGTCTGTTCAACATACACACACAAGCAAAATACATCTGCAAACACATTTCTTCTGGATCAACCTTCCTGTGAATATTCAGCTGTCTGTCTGTATTTGTGTCCACGTTGTTCATGCTCCCTTCATGACTATGCACTTCAAACTTTTCAATTATTAGCAAAGTACATCCTGAAAATAAAATGTTGATTGAATTTCCCAGAGTGCTGTTTTCTTTCTCTGTGTTTATTCAGCTCTGAAATCAGTTGATTTAGGATAGGTTAGATCTGCTCTTTGTCTGTGTAGTTGTTATACTGGTGGTCAATATATTAGTGCAAAACAAAAGCTACACAGCCACTAGCATAACAGAACATCTATATGATTTATACTATATTGTACTGGTTAATATTTTCATCCTAAGGAAATAAACTAGAAATATGATTTAAATGTCATACAACTTTAGTGTTGATAGTAGTATAGTACTCCATACTAAACTCCAACTAATTGAATGGAAAATGATTTCTAATTCCCCCCCCCACCAAAAAAAAATAAATAAAAATAAATAAATAATTAAACAAAAAGAATAATTCATAGTAATTCACCAATATAGTTTTCTCTTATTATTCCATTCATTCTATTCCATTCCTTTACAATGCTATATTGTAGAGATAAACCTGGCACTGCACAAAACGAACAAAATATATTTTTATTGCGAATGAAAGCAGTCTTTCAGCCACGTTTACGCCTCAATTAAAAGAAAAAGTTAAAAAAAACAAACAAATGCACTTGTAGAAGTTAAATGATGTGACAGAAAGCTCCTTTTTGAAGTAATTATTCTTATGATTCTATGATGGTAATGTTGCCATGGAAATGGTCAGTCTTTTAGCTACTTTCTGATTAACCTATCTGTGTAAGCATAATAAAACCTTCAATTCTGGAGTCCTCCCTGTCAGGTAATGTGTGCCACACACTGGGTACATTGTATGCCACAATGCCAAATTTTTTTAAATGGGAATATTAATCTTTGATTTATTTGCATTGACTTTTCATTCATTATACCCATCATATTACTGGATCAGAATCCCTGTTTGTTGTTTTTGTTTTTGCTTCACTATGTCTCCAGAGCACAGTGGACTGCACATCAACCTAAACTGCAAAAGGTCCTTAGTTTGAAACTAGGACAAGCCACTTTGGGGTTATGCCAGGACGAAAGCATTCAAATCTGGCACATCAAACATGTGGAACTATGTGCTTGCTCTATATCTTGCTCTGTGGGCATTTACTTTATCCTACAAGCCTATGAGAAATCTCTCCTATATGGGTCTTACATCTTAAATCCACAAGCACAGACAATCCCCACTGGAAGCACAGGAAGACACAATCCTTAATGAATGTATTCTTTCTCTCTGCCTCTGTTCGAACCAAGGCAGTAATTAATGAGGCTCTGTTTGTTGTCTTCTCATATTATGTGCTGCAGTGTTTCAGTTTTTGTTTTACAACTCTGCAAATGCAGCAGTTTGTGTCTGCCTCTTAATTTTTAGAGTGGAAAATGGAAAAAAACAAAAACAAAAACTTTTCTCTGAAAAGTCACACATCTTTCTTCATTGTTTTATTATTTAAAAAAAACACGGACAGAAAACATAAGGAATAACAAACCAAGATATAAAATCTAAAGGGTACATCTGACTTCATGGTTATTTTCTATGCCAGTGAGCTACTATTGCTGTTGTACAGTATACTGCAACAGAAACATAATTGCTTAGCTGGATTTTCTCTCCAGTTGCTGGAAAGTTAACTGATTAACTTCCCATCCTATAAAACCTGTTATATTGGATGGGCAGCCTGGAAGATCCTTAAGGGGCAGACTGTGTAAGACCCATGTGGCACAGAGCCTCCTCACAGCTTATCACCCCTGCCAAAAACCATGTTATTGTGAGCAAAAGCTATAATAGACTGACATGTGTCTGCATCACTGTGACAAGTTTACTCCGAGATATCATCAAGAACACAAAGCCTTTCGCCACTTTCAAGAGCAGAGAATGAGTATAAAATCTGATCAAGCAGTACGCAACTGCCCTCCTTTGAGTCGCGAACAGCCTATGTTGTGAAGTAGCAATAGAATGACACAGTTGGTATAAACACTCTTTTCTAATACAATGAAAACACTGTTGGGCCCAAAAGGTGACATAAGACAGGAACAAGTTCATAGGTTGTATTTACCAGTGGAAGTCTACGGATGAATACGTTTGTTTTGTTTGAGCAGTGGGGAATATAGACAGGGAGGAAATGGTGGATAAAGAGGACAGAGAGGCAGGGTCATCTGGGAAAACAGGGGGTGTATTCCAGGGAGAGTTATTTCCTTTTCCAGAGGTAAACAAACGACCAAGACAGGGAGAGAGGGATCGCTGGGTGACTGACACCTGACAATATTGAAACAGGAGAGGATGGGATGAAGTGGCTACTGGGAATAATTAAATCAAATCACTTGTATTGTCACATCACATTACTGGTACACTGGCAGCACATGTGAGTGAAATTCTTGTGTGCAAGCTTCCCAAAAGCAACAGTGATGTTCAAAATACAAGAAATATAAAAAACAAAACAAAATATAAGAAATATGAGAAAAATAAGAATAAATATATGTACAAATATATCTTGCCTATGAACACTTCAGCTTGCAGACTGGAGCACCTGGTGCTCAAACCACTGAACTTCCAACTGGTAGACAACCTGCTCAATCTCCTGAGCCCCAACTGCTCTAAAATACAGAGGCCCTTAAATACAGTGAGGGCTGGTGAGCTCATGTGAGTCCCACCAGAGACCCAGCTGAGATTGGTATCCAGTCTCACTTTTACACACTCTATGGTTTCATGCTCAGCAGGGATAGACCAACGCTGTAGTTACTGGGTAGAGACCTTTTTTTTTTTTTTTTTTTTTTTGTGTGTCCCGTTTGGATCTTTAGCCATCAGAATTGTTGTCTTAAGGCCAAGAAAGATGCCAAGCAGATTTATTTTACCAAGTGGATCATCATGGCCTTGCCATATTGGTCCATTTGATTGACCTTTATTATAATTATGAATTTATTTTATTTTCAGTTGCTACAAA